CTCTTCCCACAACCTAATTAAATGTTCTGGGAACCTTTAAAGGACTCAGAAAGGCTGTTCTGTCAACATTCTTGCAAAAAAAAAAAACCGAAAGGAACGTTTTGTGCTCCCTGATACAAACATTATCTGAATGTTAACACAACTAGACAGTTTTAGTGTTTTGGGAACCTCTTGTCATCTCTTGTCATATTCCCACAATGTTCCCACAACCCAAACAAACATTCTGGGAACTTTTAAAAGAACAGACTAAATTTATTCTGGGAACATTCTTGTAACATCAGGTGAAGGTATTTTGCACCCTAAATTAAACGTTGTAGAATCATCTGCACAACTAGACAGTTGTTGTGTTTTGAGAACATATCTTTTGTGATGTCCCCACAATGTTCTCACCAGACTGTTCCCACAACTTAATGAAACATTCTGGGAACCTTTAAAGAATGTTCTTGCAACATTTCCCTGTACTCCTGTTTTGCTCTAGCCCCTGTTTTCCAGTTTTTCCCGGTTTTGACCATTCTGCCTGTACTGACCCTGAGCCTGCCTGCCGTTCTGTACCTTGTGACACTGTTCTGGATTACCAATCTCTGCCTGCGCCGACCCTGAGCCTGCCTGCCGTTTCTGTACCTTTCAGACTCTGCTCTGGATTACACCTTATGGAACAGTGGGGACTGTGAAGTAACACAAACATAGACACATGTAAACAAACACACAATAACATACGCACTATACACACATGTACACATGGATTTTGTGTTATAAATATGTGGTAGTAGAGTAGAGGCCTGAGGGCATTCACTTAATATGTTGTGAAATATGTTATGAATGTATTGTAATGTTTTTAAAATGTATAACTGCATTAATTTTGCTGGACCCCAGGAAGAGTAGCTGCTGCCTTGGCAGCAGCTAATGGGGATCCATAATAAATACAAATACAAATACAAATACTGTCCTCTGCCTGCCCTTGACTTGTTGTTTGCCTGCCCCCTGTTTTTGTAAATAAACTTTTGCTATTTCGAACTGTCTGCATCTGGGTCTTATCCTGAGTCGTGATACACTTGTGTGGTATGCCAGCAAGCATATACTATTGTGAGTTAACCCTTTCTGTGTAAGTCATACTTTAGCCTTACTCTTTTCCTTTGACATATCCTGAATGATTTCTGTTCTCTTTCAATCCATCTTCAGCGCAGTGAGCTCATGGTAAGCTCCTATACACCGCATACGTATGTGATCTGATATTTCTGCACCAAACCCCCACACAGGATGTGATACTGTTGGGTAATAAAACAGACTTGTTCAGTCAACCAAATAGCTCTCTCAAAAGTCTCTCCTATTCCGATCGCCTCCACCAGAAATACAATAGATCATTTGAGCAATTTGTGTCATAAATGGTGAGTTTCAGTATGTTCACACCTCTCCCACTGATATGAGATAATGTCACCCTGCGCCAAAATAGTTTTCTAAAGGGCCCAATAGGGGATTTTCTGAATCTGAGCACTCAACATTGTTCTGTTGGAACATCAACATTTATTGCTGCAATGAAACCCTCCATTTTCCTTTTCCTCCAGTGTGCGTGTGTGTGTTTGTGTCTGTGTGTGTCTGTGTGCATGGGTGAGTGCATGCACATGTGTGTGTGTGTGTTTGGGAGTCATAACAGGCCCTTTGAGCCATAATACAGGCTGCCATCTCTATGGGGTGGCAGTGGCCAGCGTTCTTCAGTATTCTTATCGCAGCATCTGCCAGTTATGGGCTGATATTGAATAATAAGGCCGGCTCCAAGGTTGGGATTTCATTCCAATACTCTTGGAACTTAATTTAGGATCTATGGGAGTGAAATCTGAGCCAAAGTCTGTTTTCGCTCTCCTTTGTGGTAAATTAAGGATGGAAAAAGGTGTCTGTGCAGAAACAAAGAGATACTATTAGAGATCCCAGCATGTGTCAGAGCTACAACTCTGACAGAGGTCCTTTGTGTGTTTGTAAGCAGTCATTAAACCCACAGATTTACAGGTCTGTCCTGTGTTGACACGTACACTATTCAGTGATATCATACCCCAATCTGGCACACTGGCCCAGACCCAAATTCACACCTGCATTAAGAGAACAGTGTGTGTGAGTGTGAGTGTGTGTGTGTGTGTGTGTGTGTCTGAGCCTGTGCGTGTGTGTGTGTTTGTGTGTGCGTATTGTGCTAAAAGGCCCCTGGACTGCTATGACAGTCATAATGAAGACGTACACCTCCATAGGGGCCGAACCCCAGCTCCTGCCGCTGCACCTCCTTGGGACGCAGCCAGAAGAGGAAGAGCAGATCATTCGTTGGACAGCATGGTTGGGGGGGGTGTTGAGTGAAGGACAGTGGGGGGGGGGCTCTGAGACAGTATGGCGGAGGTGTTGAGTGATGCACAGTGAGGAGGTGTCTCACTAAACAGAGGCGTGTGAGCACATGACAAGCTATTTGGACCTACCCTATAAACCCTTATGCTTTACTAGGACAAATATATTGAGTAGACTGAACTTAAATATTTCCAAATGTTTCACACACTCAAACACTTTAAGTAATACTGACACAAAACTTGATGAGAAGTCATGTGAACTTTACATTTTTAAGTTAACCTAAACAATTACACACTTTTAAGTACTTGTAACATATTATTTTTCAGTGACAGTAGCTTAGTTGTGTAAGTGCATATAACAAAAGACAGCATGTACATTGAACATTAATTTGCGCGTAGATGCAACTTAAAAGCAATTGTAACATAACAAAATCTGATTTTTATAAGTAAGCATAACCTTTTTTTTTTGTTGCTTTAATTAACTTGAACTCAATTGGTTTCACTTCCTCACACATAACATTTTTTTATCTTTCAAACAACAGTTATTTAAGTCATTTTGCACACAAACTTATTTTGTGCAATTTACATTAAAAACAATTATTTTTATTTTGTTACATGTGATATTTAGTTGGCATTTGTAACATTGTCATTTTGTGTAAATCAGGTAAACATATTGTGTGTTTACAACTTACATTTTAATTGTCAACCTTGAATTATATATATTTGTTCAGCTGACTCCGCAATAAAAGTATTATGACCTTGCTAATTTAAGTACTTATGTAGCACTCAAATATTAAAGTAGGCTACTTTGTTGATTTATAAGTACATGTCAGGTGAACATAAAAATTGCAGTGGGTGTGTACAAAAACATTTCCAGTATTACATTACTTTCAATAAAAAAGTATGATGTGGAAATTAGAGCAAGGTTTTTGTGTTTACTTCCATTTTGAATATTGTGTGTCTTCAACTTACAACTTATTTATCTAATATGACTTACAGGTTTTCGTCCAGCTGACTTTGTAATAAAAATAGCCTAATTTAAGTAATATTTTTTTTACTTGGAAATTCACAAAATTTTGTTTACATAAAATTTCATTGTGAAATTCCCAGCCTAGATACAGTGGGGAAAAAAAGTATTTAGTCAGCCACCAATTGTGCAAGTTCTCCCACTTAAAAAGATGAGAGAGGCCTGTAATTTTCATCATAGGTACAAGTCAACTATGACAGACAAATTGAGGAGAAAAAATCCAGAAAATCACATTGTAGGATTATGGTGGAAAATAAGTATTTGGTCACCTACAAACAAGCAAGATTTCAGGCTCTCACAGACCTGTAACTTCTTCTTTAAGAGGCTCCTCTGTCCTCCACTCGTTACCTGTATTAATGGCACCTGTTTGAACTTGTTATCAGTATAAAAGACACCTGTCCACAACCTCAAACAGTCACACTCCAAACTCCACTATGGCCAAGACCAAAGAGCTGTCAAAGGACACCAGAAACAAAATTGTAGACCTGCACCAGGCTGGGAAGACTGAATCTGCAATAGGTAAGCAGCTTGGTTTGAAGAAATCAACTGTGGGAGCAATTATTAGGAAATGGAAGACATACAAGACCACTGATAATCTCCCTCGATCTGGGGCTCCACGCAAGATCTCACCCTGTGGGGTCAAAATGATCACAAGAACGGTGAGCAAAAATCCCAGAACCACACGGGGGGACCTAGTGAATGACCTACAGAGAGCTGGGACCAAAGTAACAAAGCCTACCATCAGTAACACACTACGCCGCCAGGGACTCAAATCCTGCAGTGCAAGACGTGTCCCCCTGCTTAAGCCAGTACATGTCCAGGCCCATCTGAAGTTTGCTAGAGTGCATTTGGATGATCCAGAAGAGGATTGGGAGAATGTCATATGGTCAGATGAAACCAAAATATAACTTTTTGGTAAAAATTCAACTCGTTGTGTTTGGAGGACAAAGAATGCTGAGTTGCATCCAAAGAACACCATACCTACTGTGAAGCATGGGGGTGGAAACATCATGCTTTGGGGCTGTTTTTCTGCAAAGGGACCAGGACGACTGATCCGTGTAAAGGAAAGAATGAATGGGGCCATGTATCGTGAGATTTTGAGTGAAAACCTCCTTTTTTTATTGACCAAATACTTATTTTCCACCATAATTTGTAAATGAATTCATAAAAAATCCTACAAAGTGATTTTCTGATTTTTTTTCCCCTCATTTTGTCTGTTATAGTTGACGTGTACCTATGATGAAAATTACAGGCCTCTCTCTCATCTTTTTAAGTGGGAGAACTTGCACAATTGGTGGCTGACTAAATACTTTTTTTCCCCACTGTATGAGAGGAATGAGTATCCAAGTGAGTGTGACTTTGAAGATGCTGCAGAAGCCTTAGTCCACCGACATAAATGCCTTGCTGACTATGGGTCACCAAAAGGGTGGGAGGGATGGAAGAATGGCTTTAAGTTTAAAGTAGGCAAATACAGAACGAACCTAGGCTGAGAAAGGTGTCCTGAGGTTGGTAGAAAAAGTGCCCAAAAAAGGAAAGATCCAGAACCACCACTAAAACACACCGTTTACTGTGGCCCAGTCAACCTCTCACAGCTCCCTCAATCAAAAGTTGAAGCAGATCTGTAAAAGCTAAGGACCGATATTGCTCTTGAGATGAAGAAGACACACAAAGACTTGGCTGTAATCAATCGCTGTATGGGAAAGACATTTGCCCTGAGAAGACAGGAGATTTTGAACAGCAGTCCTGAAATACTGACAGTGGAGAATAGATGGCCGGCACTATTTCTATAGTCACAGGTATTGCTTTGGCCTGGTGGCAGGGTTTACATTCTGTTACAATGACTAAAATGGAAGGAATGGAGGGTAAGTGTGTCTGTGTGTGTGTGTGGGGGGGGGGGGGGGGGGGGGGGTTATTGAGTTATTGTCATTCAGTAAGAGCCTGGTAATGTATAATCGCATTAAGTACAGAAAACTTCTGTCTTAAACCAAACCAAAAAGAAAATCATCGTTTAACTAATCAGAACCTGCAGCAATCGTTCTTTGCTGCACTAGACCATCACATTGAACGCTTGCTGGCTTTATCCCGGGAGGTGCAGGGACAGATGGGGAGCTTTCTGCCATTCTGAAGAAGTATGATGAAATGGTTTGTTACATTCTAATGTACATATTTGGTCAGTTTCCTTGGTCTGTGCGGGCACTCCCCCTATTTATTATTTTATTAAATGTTTTACCATTTCCCAAACCCCACCTGCAGTGTACATACAATTGGTTTGGGGTGAAATGGTAGTAAAAGGGGTGTTGTGTCTCGATTAGGGATTGAGCCTATGGATAGCCATATTGGTTTAAAATCACATTGCCTGTATACTTTTCCCATTTCTCCTCTGCAAGTTGATTTATTAATGTTCTGTCTGTGTCCTTTTATCAATCAAGGAATGTGAATGTCAGTCGAACGACTGCCCTTCATTGTCTCCCAGCACTACTTTGTGAAAGCGACTCAGAGGTGTTCAAAACCTGCAACCTGGTTGGTTAATATACTTACAGGGTTATTACAGCATTTAAGACTGCTCCTTTTAATATTTACTTGCCTTGCCCAGAAATCACAACACATCTTCCACGTTGGTTGATCTGTATTTCACACTCTTCCGGTTGTCATACTGTAGGAACGTGAGTCAAGAAATCCTGGTGTCCTCATTGGTCCAGTCTGCATATTTGCTATCATCTCTGATGATGAAGATGCAGTCTCCCTTCAGCCACACCAAGTCTCCATCATCCTCGAAGATAGAGTGGTGATACACAGCTTCCAATCCTGGCCAGATGCTTTTCCCGCTCTTTTTGGCCTGGTTTATGCTCTACATCAGGATTACCCAAAACCTATGTCCAGCTCATTTCTATTCATTCAGCAAGTGTTTCTTAATTTTGATTCCGAAAATCTCAAATCAAAAGTTTTGGCCTTGAAAAATAAACTGTAACCTAAACATAACCTGTTTTCAGGTCAAATGTGCCTGTGGTAAGACAACACCAGATTTTTGTTGTTTTGTTTTTCTTCAACCTTAGAAAAAGGAACTTGGAACAAAAAAAAGTTTCAGATTGTATGCTTTTTTTGGTTATTTCCTCTCATATGTGTTCTCTTGAAATGTAACCAGAGGAACAAAAATTGTGTTTGAAATGTTTTTGTGGTATTCTCCAATAATAAATAATAGTAATTTGTACAGTCCAACATTAAATTTACACCTGAACCTAAATTATCTACATGGAAGCACGCTGGGAGCGATTTGCTTGTGTGTTGTTGTCTTAGCAAGGAGGTAGGCCTAGTAAACTATGACTGTGCTTTTGAAGACTTTGTAATAAATACATTGAATGTGTACTTTGAAGGGGTTAAATTTGTTTTACATAACAATACTCACTTCAGCTATTATGTTCGTTCTAGGTTATATTGCCTAACCAACAAATACTCACAATCATTATTTGAATTATCAGACGTCAATACTCTTATTAATGAACTTGAAGTCATTAGACGTTTACAAAGCAACGCATGATGAACTGCTAAATGGCTTTGCTTTGAACTTTGCTCCCTGGTTTGCTTTGAGAGAACATGCCATCATGATAACCTCTACTTACAGTACTAATACTGAGCACATTCATATAGCAGTCTATACAGTAATATACTCAGTCCTCTGTCTGTGTTATATTGTGGTGTTGAGGGAACTCATGGTCTCCAGGTACTCCTTCAGGCAGTGTTAACAGCAGTGCTACAACGAGAATTGATTTTGGCATGTTGGGTGGCATCTGCCTGTTCGTTGCACAGCATAAAATTGTTTTCCACAGCAGGGTTAACTGGTGCGTCTGAACATCACTGTTAGTAGGCCCAACTTCTAAGACACACCATACACATCATTTTGAAACTAGGGAAATGGAACGGTTAGGAAAGGGGTGGCTAGTGAGGTCTAAGTCAGTCCCTCTTCCTGCCTATATTTTGTTCTCCTCTTATGCCTTGTCATCTTACTTGTCTCCCATTGTCTCCTCCCCCAACACACACCAGCCACATCATGTGGATAAGAAATGAAAGGGTGTGGAAAATGGTTGATGAGGTCTTCTCATGCAATCTACTCTTTTGTCAATTTTTTACGCCTTACACAATTTGTCCTCCCTATAGTCTCCCATCAGACAGAGTAAATTGTGCTGATGTACTGTCCTCTGCAATGACTTGTGTGCTGACCCTAAACTGGCCCTCTATAACACTGTACTCTGTCAGTGCTTGTGGTGTTTAGGTGGTAGACATGCTTACTCTTTGGCATTATGTAGGCAGCTCAAAGCCTAACAGCGAGAATAATACAGATTGCTAAGTGTAGTAATGCCCCAATTGGTTAGGGCCAAACCTATTTGAATGGTGACAGGGTGAGGATGGAGGCCAACTCAAAATGTTGTCAGGAGGCCTATATTCCCAAAATGATGGTGCAATTACATTACACGTTCAATGTGTCCAGGACATGGTCCTTAAGCTCCTGGTGTCCAATTCAATTTAGGTTTAGGTTTTAAAAATGTTTTGCATCTGATTGAGGAAGTGGTCTAGTGTTGATTAAATGTAGCTTGCACCTTGGCCTAAAAGTCATAAACATGGTGTTACTTGGTCATTGGTAATTATTAGACTAGTTGTGTGTAAAGTGTCACTGTGGATGTCTGTCTGTCTCAAAGAGAATGTGGTGTATGAAACCCTGAATTAAGAGTGATGTTTATGTTCAAGTGATATAACCTCTAAAGAGTTAACTTCATGTCATAAAAGGCTGGTTAATTTTAAATTTTGGGCGGGCATCTGGAAGGATGTATTATTTTAAACTGAAGCCCGCTCATCGGCCAAAGGCAACGTCTTCTCTGTGATCATACCGCACTTTCTCCAAGTGCATGTGCAGTAATCTACCTCACACACAGGCGGCTGACTTCCCACCAAGGTTTATACGATTAAGTATATATCATTTAAAGCTACATTGCATTAGGGAGCCAATTGTGAGCACAGAAATCTAATGTAGTCTCATTATTTAGCCTGACGACGTAGGTAACATTAACATTAGATGAAGTTGGTTAACTTTTCAGCAGTTCATGTTAGCCAATTAATTTAAAGAGAAGTGCTGCTGGCTTTCATGACCTAGCCTAGCTAAAGACAGAATTACCCGAATGGTAAATAATCTTTTTTAAAAGAAAGCTATGCTAAGCGTAATATATAACATGATTGTTATAATGTTAATTGCGGAACATTGTGAAAACTATGTGGCTAACTTTAGCAAGCATGACTAACGGGTAGCTAGCTATCCAACTCTGATGGATCAATGCATGTGTAACGTTAACATCGACAATTTGATCTTAAAATCCATCTGCCGTGACATGTGCGTATTTATTTGATGTTTTAACTGGTTGGCAGTCCGCCTCAACAATTAGCTAGCCTTGCTAACGTTAGTTTGCAGAACAGAGACACCTCTGGAGGAGTAGGTTTATGTCAAATGCATTACTTGTCCACAGAGCTATGGGGTCAATGTAAATGGTTGTTTGGCTAATGTGTCAAATGCATTGCCTTTGAGAGTTAACGTTAAGGCTGCTTGATTGCTAATGACGCCCTTGCCTGTTCTTCCAGACCTTGGGACAACTGTGCAGCATTTCACCGTTGACATAGACCTTGTAGAGAAAGGTAAGTTATCAAGATAATTTTGGCCCAATAACAAAAGGCTTAATATACGTTTATATGATGAGGTAGTTAACAAAAAATACAATAGCCATAGAACAGTATACATCCCCATTCTTTAAGCTCTATTTTTTTTTATAGCTCTACAATAAATAAAGTCAAAACATGCTAACCCCATAGTTAAAGGTGTACTAGAGTAGTTTCAATTTTTAGCTGCTTTTCAGTCACCCCTGCTGATTAATTAATCTGATTAAAATCCATCAATCTTAGGTTCGTGAAATGTCTGAAATGTCTGAATTACACTGTGAAAGTGGATGGTTTGGATGAATCGGGAAAAAAATTATTTTACAATTTGTTGGTAGGCCCTGAATGGAATACTTTATCCTAACAGCCATCTGAGTTATGTGCATATAACTTAAATTGTAAATAGCTTTTTTGAATTTATATAATGAAGTGCATGAATTGTTTCCACTTCCATTTTAGCAGACATCCATCAACCAAACATAATGTGGAATTGTAAACTCTGCCGTTTTTCCTACCATTCCCAAGGAAATGTGTCACATTTCACAGTCAATAACCCATTCAAGCTTAACATCCTTGTCATTTATCGCCCTCCAGGTTCCCTTGGAGAGTTCATCAATGAGCTTGACGCCTTGATAAGTTCCTTTCCTGAGGATGGCTCACCCCTCACAGTCCTGTGTGACTTTAACCTCCCTACGTCTGCCTTTGACTAATTTCTCTCTGCCTCCTTCTTTCCATTCCTTTCCTCTTTTGACCTCACCCTCTCACCGTCCCCCCCTACTCACAAGGCAGGCAATACGCTTGACCTCATCTTTACTAGATGCTGTTCTTCTACTAATCTCACTGCAACTCCCCTCCAAGTCTCCGACCACTACTTTGTATCCTTTTCTCTCTCACTCTCCTCCAACACTACTCACTCTGCCCCTACTCAGATGGTAATGTGCCGTCGCAACCTTCGCTCTCTCTCTCCCGCTACTCTCTCCTCTTCCATCCTATCATCTCTTCCCTCTGCTAAATCCTTCTCCCTCCGATCTCCTGATTCTGCCTCCTCAACCCTCCTCTCCTCCCTTTCTGCATCTTTTGACTCTCTATGTCCCCTATCCTCCCGGCCGGCTCGGTCCTCCCCTCCTGCTCCGTGGCTTGATGACTCATTGCAAGCTCACAGAAGAGGGCTCCGGGCAGCCGAGCGGAAATTGAGGAAAACTAGACTCCCTGCGGACCTGTCATCTTTTCACTCCCTCCTCTCTACATTCTCTTCCTCTGTTTCCGCTGCTAAAGCCACTTTCTACAACTCTAAATTTCAAGCCTCTGCCTCTAACCCCTTGACCGCTGGCCATGTCCCTTCCGTCTTCAAGAGAGCGAGAGTTGCACCCCTCCTCAAAATACCTACACTCGATCCCTCCGATGTCAACAACTACAGACCAGTATCCCTTCTTTCTTTTCTCTCCAAAACTCTTGAGCGTGCCGTCTCTAGCCAACTCTCCTGCTATCTCTCTCAGAATGACCTTCTTGATCCAAACCAGTCAGGTTTCAAGACTGGTCATTCAACTGAGACTGCTCTTTTCTGTGTCACTTAGGCTCTCTGCACTGCTAAAGCTAACTCTCTCTCCTCTGCTCTTATCCTTCAAGACCTATCCGCTGCCTTTGATACTGTGAACCATCAGTACCAATCACTCTTGGATTGCGTCCTACCTGACAGGTCGCTCCTACCAGGCTCTCACCACTGGTGTCCCCCAGGGCTCAGTTCTAGGCCCTCTCCAATTCTCTCTATACACCAAGTCACTTGGCTCTGTCATATCCTCACATGGTCTCTCCTATCATTGCTACGCAGACGTCACGCAATTAATTTTTTCCTTTCCCCCTTCTGATAACCAGGTGGCGAATCGCATCTCTGCATGTCTGGCAGACATATCAGTGTGGATGTCGGATCACCACCTCAAGCTGAACCTCGGCAAGACGGAGCTGCTCTTCCTCCCTGGGAAGGACTGCCCGCTCCATGATCTCGCCATCATGGTTGACAACTCTGTTGTGTCCTCCTCCCAGAGTGCAAAGAGCCTTCTCGTGACCCTGGACAACACCCTGTCGTTCTCTGCTAACATCAAAGCGGTGACCCGATCCTGCAGGTTAATGCTCTCCAGCATTCGCAGAGTACGACCCTACCTTACACAGAAAGCGGCACAGGTCCTAATCCAGGCACTTGTCATCTCGCGTCTGGATTACTGCAACTCGCTGTTGGCTGGGCTCCCTGCCTGTGCCATTAAACCCCTACAACTTATCCAGAACGCCGCAGCCCGTCTGGTGTTCGACCTTCCCAAGTTCTCTCATGTCACCCCGCTCCTCCGCACACTCCACTGGCTTCCAGTTGAGGCTTGCATCTACTACAAGACCATGGTGCTTGCCTACGGAGCTGTGAGGGGAACGGCACCTCCATACCTTCAGGCTCTGATCAGTCCCTACACCCAAACGAGGGCACTATGTTCATCCACCTCTGGCCTGCTAGCTCCCCTACCTCTATGGAAGCACAGTTCCTGCTCAGCCCAGTCAAAGCTATTTGCTGCTCTGGAACCCCAATGGTGGAACAAGCTCCCCCACGACGCCAGGACAGCGGAGTTACTGACCACCTTCCGGAGACACTTGAAACCCTACCTCTTTAAGGAATACCTGGAATAGTATAAAGCAATCCTTCTACTCCCCCCCCCCCCCCACCACCCCATTAAAAAAAAGAAGAAGAAAAAAAGTGGTTGTCCCACTTGCTATCATAAGTTGAATGCACCAATTTGTAAGTTGTGTCTGCTAAATGATGTAAATGTAAATGTAAATGAAATATTCTCAAACAGTACCGTTTAATACATAGTCAACACATACATTTGTCAAGACTCCATACACCGATACATGTATGTTCAGCTGAAGAGAGACATTTGGCGTTCCACTGCCCAATTTGTGCTTTTACACAACAATTTGATGAGAGAGAGCTTTTTTCACATTTAAGAGCACATGTGAAGAATCATGAAATGGTTCAGTCCCCAGTTAAAGACTGCTCATTCAAAACAAATGTTTTCTCAACATTCACCTCACATATGTCAAGAAACCATTCCTCCTTAAGCTCTACTCATTTCAAGGTTGGCATTGTGAGACAAGCAAGTGAGCCCAAGATGATTTTTCTCAAAGCCAAATTACAGATGTTGTAGGTAGCTCCAAGGATGATGAATCAAATGTGCGGGATAGCACACCTTCTCTTAAAGAGCAGCTGCAGCAAAACCTGGCATCCTTGCTGTTAAAATTATAATCACTTCTTCATGTGTCACAAAGTGCAACTCAATAAATGCTAGTGAACTTGGATCAACTGCTCTTACTATCTAAACCACTAATGAAACAAACAGTCTCGCAAATTCTTGAGAAACATAATTGTAATGTGAGCACTGATGTCATCAATGAAATTGTGAATGGCATAGTAGACAATGACGTTCCTCACAGTTGTACTTCAAAAGATGGACCTTTGCAAACAGCAAAAAGAAGGAATACTTATTATGATAGGAAATTCCCTGTGGTGAAGCCAATTGAATACACCATAGATGGTGCAAAACATTCCACAATGTATGTCCCCATCCTTGCAATGTTGCAATGAAAATGAGGTTTTAGAGCAAGCAATGAAGACATCTGCACAACCAGATGCCCAGTATGCATCATATCATGATGGATCATTTTGTAAAACCAATGAAATGCTTTCTAGTGAGGAGTTTAAGGTCTATATTGATGATTTTGAAGTAGCCAACCCACTTGGTACATCAAGAAAAAAGCACAAAATATGCTTTGTTTACTGGACTTTAGCCAATATTCCAACCAAGTATCGCTCACCGTTGCATACAATACAGCTAGCATTGCTATGCAATTCCAGTGACATGAAGACTTGTGGATATGCAAAGATTTTTGAGCCACTGTTGAATGATTTAAAAATTCTGGAAATGAGTCAAGGACTTTCGAGATGAAAACAAAGGAAAGCCTTGATAATTTATGTAACGACATAGAATCTGGTATAAGTACAGAGGACTATGGTGTGAAGAGTGCTTGTGTTTTTTCACAGAAACTACAGTACTTTCATACAACAAGTGGATTTCCTCCAGATATCCTTCATGATTTCCTAGAAGTTGTTGTACTGGTAGAGTTGTCTCTGTGTCTACAATAATTTATTAGAAATAAGTGTTTCTCGTTGGAACAATTGAACATTGCTATTGTCAAGTTTCCTTATGAGAACAGTGACAAAGTTGATTGACCTCAGCCTATACCTAAAGCTTTGTAAAAAGAAAAACTCACATTGCTTAGGCTTCTTCCTGCAATAATTGGCTCCGAGGTACCAGAGGATGAGAGAGCTTGGAAGATTTTGATGGATTTGAAAGACATTGTGGAACTAGTGTTGTGTCATGTGTTCACAGAGGAAGTGATTCAGTACTTGACTTTAAAGATATCCGATCATAGACAACTACTGTAGGAAGTATTTCAAAATTTCAAACTGCGTCCAAAGCATCACTTAATTGAACACTATCCACAATTGATACGGCGTTTTGATCCATTTGTACATTGCTTGACCATCAGATTTGAAGGAAAGCATAAAGTATTTAAAAATATTGTACATAACGCACAAAACTTCAAGAACCAAAACAAAACCCTTGCGCAAAGACATCAGAGAATGATGGCATATCATTTGGCATTGCCAAACTATTTTAAGCCTGCCGTTGAGACATTCACCATAAAGAACATATTTTTGAACACTCTTGCGACTGCAGCACAGGATTATATACAGGAAATAACTGACAGCACCTGTACAACTGTACAGCACTTCACATGTTGTTGTAAACAACAAACATTTTGTCAGTGGCATGTTTGTGTGCAATTCAAAAAATTGGAAACATCATACTCGTCAACAATCAAACTCTGTTTATATGCAAAAGCTGCCAGTCTTGGTATATAGAGCACCTGCGCTCCTATGAGGTGACAACAGAAGAGTCATATGTTGTAACAACACCATCAGATCTCCATGACTTCATGCCTCTAACTGCATACAGACTGAATGGACAACTTGTCCTTACTACTAAGCACTTCATACTTTTGAGCAGGTAGAAAAGTAATCTTTGTTCCTCTGTCCTACAGCGATATGGCTGACTCTTCAGACTGAGAGTCCACTTAGGAGACGGAGGCATTGAACGGGTGACACTCCCCTGTCGTCCGGATTCTGTCCCTCAACTGACTGCTTTACTGTGTGAAAAATTTGAAATTCCATACAGTCCTTCTCCAGTTTGAAGACCCTGATTTTGGTGGCCAGCTATGCAATCTGAGCAGTATTCATGAACTACAAAACATGGGAACTGTCAAATTGATCAGAGTAATGGACTAGGACTGCAGCACAACTTCCAACTATGCAGGGACAAGTGACAGTGGAGAGACCGACAGCTGTCTAACACCCCAAAGGGAAAGTGCATGGCCAGACGTCTTTGTGGTTCCCAACTTTCCACATGACATAGAGTTTGCTCTCAGGGAAGGCAATGAAGCTAAAGAGCCGCATGGGAAACGCCTTACTTTAAACAAAGAGCAAAAACTAAAGATTATTGAGGGCATGGCTAGAGCAATATTTGAATACAAGGTGTACCCTTGCAGCAAGGAGATTAAAAGTGCTGCTGAAGCGTTAGTTCAGAAACATCCATGCCTGGAAGAGTCTGGCTCCAAAAGTGGCTGTGATGGATGGAGAGACAGCTTGGTGTTCAAAATTGGCAATTTCAGACACAAACTCGGCAAGTCAGTGTGTCCAGAAGTGAAAGTTAACAGTGGCAAGAGAAGGAAAAGTAGCCCAGATGGCGACTCGCCACATTCAAAGATAAAGCGGCCTCGACGAGCAGAAGTAAACTTTCTTCCACAGCTTCCACAAGGTGAAACTGAAGAAAGTCTGGAGAGGTTGAGGGTTGTTGGAGGAAACGGACCAAGACAAGATTGACTTATCATTGGTCAACAGCAGCATGTGTAGGACCTTTGCATTGAGACGTAAAAAGATTGTTAACTTGAGCCCCACCATAGAGAGTATCCAAGAATGATTGCCAGCACTTTTCCTCACAGAACGCTTGCTAGCCCTATCCAGAGAGAAGCAGGGAAAGACTGGAAGAAATGGACAGAAAAAAGTATTTGATCCCCTGCTGATTTTGTATGTTTGCCCACTGACAAATAAATGATCAGTCTATAATTTTAATGGTAGGTTTATTTGAACAGTGAGAGACAGAATAACAACAACAAAATCCAGAAAAACGCATGTCAAAAATGTTATAAATTGATTTGCATTTTAATGAGGGAAATAAGTATTTGACCCCCTCTCAATCAGAAAGATTTCTGGCTCCCAGGTGTCTTTTATACAGGTTAACGAGCTGAGATTAGGAGCACACTCTTAAAGGGAGTGCTCCTAATCTCAGTTTGTTACCTGTAGAAAAGACACCTGTCCACAGAAGCAATCAATCAGTCAGATTCCAAACTCTCCACCATGGCCAAGACCAAAGAGCTCTCCAAGGATGTCAGGGACAAGATTGTAGACCTACACAAGGCTGGAATGGGCTACAAAACCATCGCCAAGCAGCTTGGTGAGAAGGTGACAACACTTGGTGCGATTATTCGCAAATGGAAGAAACACAAAAGACCTGTCAATCTCCCTCGGCCTGGGGCTCCATGCAAGATTCACCTTGTGGAGTTGCAAGGATCATGAGAATGGTGAGGAATCAGCCCAGAACTACACGGGAGGATCTTGTCAATGATCTCAAGGCAGCTGGGACCATAGTCACCAAGAAAACAATTGGTAACACACTACGCCGTGAAGGACTGAAATCCTGCAGCGCCCGCAAGGCCCCCCTGCTCAAGAAAGCACATATACAGGGCCGTCTGAAGTTTTCCAATGAACATCTGAATGATTCAGAGGAGAACTGGTGAAAGTGTTGTGGTCAGATGAGACCAAAATCGAGCTCTTTGGCATCAACTCAACTCGCCGTGTTTGGAGGAGGAGGAATGCTGCCTATGACCCCAAGAACACCATCCCCACCGTCAAATATGGAGGTGGAAACATTATGCTTTGGGGGTGTTTTTCTGCTAAGGGGACAGGACAACTTCACTGCATCAAAGGGACTATGGACGGGGCCATGTACCGTCAAATCTTGGGTGAGAACCTCCTTCCCTCAGCCAGGGCATTGAAAATGGCTCGTGGATGGGTATTCCAGCATGACAATGACCCAAAATACACGGCCAAGGCAACAAAGGAGTGGCTCAAGAAGAAGCACATTAAGGTCCTGGAGTGGCCTAGCCAGTCTCCAGACCTTAATCCCATAGAAAATCTGTGGAGGGAGCTGAAGGTTCGAGTTGCCAAACGTCAGCCTCGAAACCTTAATGACTTGGAGAAGATCTGCAAAGAGGAGTAGGACAAAATCCCTCCTGAGATGTGTGCAAACCTGGTGGCCAACTACAAGAAACGTCTAACCTCTGTGATTGCCAACAATGGTTTTGCCACCAAGTACTAAGTCATGTTTTACAGAGGGGTCAAATACTTATTTCCCTCATTAAAATGCAAATCAATTTATAACATTTTTGACATGCGTTTTTCTGGATGTTTTTGTTGTTATTCTGTCTTTCACTGTTCAAATAAACCTACCATTAAAATTATAGACTGATCATGTCTTTGTCAGTGGGCATACGTACAAAATCAGCAGGGGATCAAATACTTTTTTCCCTCACTGTAGCTGCCATTCTGAATTTGTACAGCCAGGTATATAAATGAAATCAGTAAGCAAAATGTAAAGCAAATTAATTGATTGAAATGTTACATTTTAAGATCAGTGATACCCTTACACAGATTTTTGGTTAATGTTTGTAATGTTTCTCTGTAGCAACCACATGATGTGAACACCGATCTAACTGTTGTCCTCAGATGTCTTCCAGCAATACTCCAAGAGGATGACTCTGGAATGTTCATAACATGCACGGTGGGTTGTGTTTGTGTGCGAGGTTGTTCAAATATTCTTTGACTCAAAATAAAGGAGGGGAGAAACTACTTGTGTGTCTTCAAAAATAGTTTATTGTGACATGATAGTTATATTTTCATGTTCTTGCTCAGGAGGGAACATCCCAAGACCCTGCAGCCATCAAGAGACCAGCAGCCATCATCTCAGTCATAGATGATGATGGAGATGTAGCTGCTGTGCCATTGCATCCAGGAAGAGTCTACGTGGTCCTTGAGGAGAAGGTAGTTATGAAGGATTTCCGGTGCTGGCCTGATGCACTTGTATGTTTGTACGGGCTAATGTACTCACTCCAACATAAATACCCAAATTGCATGAAGAACACGTTTGGGTTCATACAAAAAGTGTTATTAAACTTGGATAGAGACAGAATGAAGCCAAAGGTCCTTGCTTTGAAAAACCAACTGTAAAAAACCAATACCAAAAACATTTATGGCGCTAAACAATTGTAAATAGTTACGTTATCGTATAAGGAAAAGAGATTAGGGATAAAAAAATGTAAAATGAAGACCACTAAATGTTTTGTAGGCACATGCCAAATAAAATGTCTTCCTGCATTTGATTTGATCTGTGCCTTTAGTCAAACTGGTCACAAAAATGAGAAAGTCATGCAATACTATTGGCCTTTAATCTATTGAGTCTTAACATGTACAGAGATACAAGACACTTGACTTCAGTTGGTGTAGAGTTTAATTGAAAGAGTTACTGTTTGGGGAAACTGAACATTGGCTTTGTGAAGTTACCTTACAAATCAGTGATGAAGTTGTTGGCCTCAGCCTAAATCCTTGTATATAGGAAGCTTTAGAGGCATTGGCCACAAATCTCACATTGCTGACGTCATCATGCGAAAAATGGCTGAGATCCCAGAGGATGAAAATGGGTAGGGAATCTTCATGGAGTTGTAAGGAGGTATTTTGCATACCTGTGTAGTGTTGTGGACCGGTACATATAAGAAAGTTGGAGAAACAACGTTCGCACACACTGTCTAATTGCATTTAGAACGTTTATTTGTCCGTTTAATGATTCGGTCCTACACCAGGAATTAAGGTTTAGGACCGAAACATTGCGTGCGTAAGTACATTTTATAATCTGGAAGTATAACTTTGTTTTGTAAACATAATGGAGTGAAAATTGTCGTGGAGGAAGACATTTAAATTGTCAACATTAATCTTCATCTTGTACAGTTAAATGTAGTCAAGTAGTTAGACTGTGAAATGGATGTCGGCACATCACTACCTCGTTATTTTGATGTTATATCCTTCAGCACAGCTTTTATTGAATGGAAGCTACCACATCAGTTGAAAGTGTTAATTGGAGAAGGGTCATTAAACTGTGCTTATGTTTAATAGTTAAGTTGTTGATGGGGAATGTTCCAATGTTACACAGTATTGAATTGATTGAAAGTTGGGGTTTGTTATCTGAGCCTTTTAAAAGTTATAGCATATGTTCAAATGAGTCATGCTGAACAGAATTGGCATTCATCCATTGATGGAGCCTAAAATAGATTAATCATGTTTTGTGCATTCATGTAATTAGAGATTTGTGGTTCTGAAGATGCAGTGTTTTAAAGAAAAAACTGTTGTAAAGCTGACTTGGTTTAGAGTAATTGACTGAAAGAAAGAACTTGGATTTTAAGAGTAGTTTCTGACTTAACATTTTGAAGTGCAGCTGGTTTCCACAAATTATTTGAGTTACGTAACAGAAATTATGAAGTTACACAGGACTAAAATGTGATACAATTTTTTTTACAGTTTTATGTTTAATTTACTCAATAAAAGTTGTATGCAAACTTGAACACGTTGATTCGGTATTTGTTGAATGCACTCCAAAGAATAGAGTCACTGCTCTCGGCGGGTCTGACCTAGAGTATGTGGACAACTACAAATACCTAGGTGTCTGGTTACACTGCAAACTCTCCTTCCAGACTCACATTAAGCATCTCCAATCAAAAGTTAGAATCGGCTTCCTATTTCGCAACAAAGCCTCCTTCACTCATGCTGCCAAACATGCCCTCGTAAAACTGACTATCCTACCGATCTTTGACTTCGGCGATGTCATTTACAAAAAAGCCTCCAACACTCTACTCAGAAAATTTGATGTAGTCTATCACAGTGCCATCCGTTTTGTCACCAAAGCCCCATATACTACTCACCATTGTGACCTGTACGCTCTTGTTGGCTGGCCCTCACTACATATTCGTCGCTAAACCCACTGGCTCCAGGTCATCTATAAATCACTGCTAGGCAAATCTCCGCCTTATCTTAGCTCACTGGTCACCATAGCAACACCCACCCGTAGTCTGCGCTCCAGCAGGTATATCTCACTGGACATCCCCAAAGCCAACACCTCCTTTGGCCGCCATTCCTTCCAGTTCTCTGCTGCCAATGACTGGAACGAACTGCAAAAATCTCTGAAGCTGGAGACTCTTATCTCCCTCACTAACTTTAAGCATCAGTTGTCAGAGCAGTAATGATAACTAATAAGGGTTTACAGTGTATGCTACATCCCTGAATGTGCATAACTAAGCGAGTCAATGATGTCTCATTGAATGTGTTTGTAATGTGTTATAAATAATCTACGAATAAAGTCAAAAGTTTACTGCATTTCTACTTGACGTAGTGCTGATAGATTAGCATGTTTATATGGCATGTTCAGGGAAATTGATGTCCTAATTGTGTTCTCACCCATAACCATGCTAACACCTGTTTCCAATATACCAGGGGACCTATGATCTAGCCATCCAGTCCTATAGGCCCCTCCAGTGAACATCATATCCAATCAAATGTTATCTGTCACATGCTTCATAAACAACAGGTGTAGACGAACAGTGAAACGCTTACTTACGGGCCCTTCCCAACAAAACAGAGAGAAAAATAGAAAAATATTAACACAAGGAATAAATACACAATGAGTAACGATATACACGGGGTACCAGTACCGAGTCGATGTGCAGAGGTACGAGTTAATTGAGGTAGATATGTACATAAAACTATAAATAAAGTGACAGATAATAAACAGTAGCAGCAGTGTATGTGATGTGTCAAAAAAGGCTCAATGCAGATAGTCCGGGTATCTATTTGGTTAACTATTCAACTAACTATTTAGTAGTCTTATGGCTTGGAGGTAGAAGCTGTTCAGCGTGCTCTTGATTCCAGACTTGGTGCATCGGTACCGCTTGCCGTGCAGTAGCAGAAAAAACTGTCTATATCTTGGGTGGCTGGGAGCCCGGCCCCAGTGATGTACAACGCTGGAGTTGTTGAACATTTTAAGGGCCTAACTCTGACACCGCCTGGTATAGAGGTTCTGAATGGCAGGGAGCTCGGCCCCAGTGATGTACTGGGCGGTACGCACTACCCTCTGTAGCGCCTTGCGGTCGGATGCCAAGCAGTTGCCACACCAAGCGGTGTGCAGTCAGTCAAGATGCTCTCAATGGTGCAGCTGTAGAACCTTTTGAGGATCTGAGGCCCATGCATGATGCATATGGCCTGTGTACTAGTGCTGCATCCCAAAAGGGCACCCTATTCCCTATCTAGTGCACTACTTTTGACCATGGCCCATAGGGTTCTGGTCAAAAGTAGTGCACTATAAAGGGAATAGGGTGCCATTTGGGACGCACCCTAGAGACAGTTGCAGGCCGCGTAGAACCAGAGACGCAGAGGGGATGAGGCCATCCTGACCTGTAGACTTGATATATATGCTTTTTATAATCATTAGAGGATCTGGACTGTGTCCTGCGTTCATGGCCATGATGGCAAGGTCAGCCCCGTTTCCCACCGCTGCACAATACCAGGATTGAGTTATGGGGTGACGCATCGGCCCATGTAAGTGAGGCTTTATGCAAAATGCCTGGAGAGAGAGAGATGGAGAGGGAGAGAGAGACAGAAATAGTGAGAGGGGGAGATTAAGAGCGACTGAGAGAGAGAGAGAGAGAGAGAGAGAGAGAGAGAGAGAGAGAGAGAGAGAGAGAGAGAGAGAGAGAGAGAGAGAGAGAGAGAGAGAAGAGAGCTCTCTCGCCGCGCTCTCTACTCTCTCTTCTCTCGCTCTCGTCTCTACTCCTCTCTCTCTCTCTCTCTCTCTCTCCTCCTCAGATCGCTAGGACTAAATATTCACAGTGGGCAAGTGCTTTGAGTTTTCATTGGACAACTCCCTCCCCCTCCCTCCATCCCCAACAGAGTAAATACAGTAAATTGAGGAATTTCTTCATGTGACGCAGGCATGGTGCAGAGTGCAGTACCACAGCCCACGTAGTGTCACACACCTGCAGGCATGCAGGCATGCTGTAGGCACGCACACACACACACTCCCTCTCTCTCCACAAACAGAGAACACCACTGCATGTTCTCTGCACAAGGAATTGGGTATGAAATCATTAATATTGATAGGAAAACCAAAGAATGGGTACATATATGTAGAATAACTTGATCCAGACTTGTGCTGTGGACTATGTCATCGTTTTGACCATGCTGCTGCTGCTCAACTGTCTCGCTGACCAGCTGCATTTGCAAGCAGATTCTACAGAGACAGAGAGAGTTATGGTTCTGAACTTAAGGTTCTGCACTAAGATGGATAGAACAAGTTACACATTTGAATGATGAGCTGCATGTGCAAGCAAATTCTACAGAGAAAGAGATAAGGGCCCATAGCAATGGGTCTACTTTAGCTGGTCTAGTCAATTGGTCTGCAGCACTAAGATGGATAGTACAAGTTAAAAACATGAATGTTTGCATGTGCAAAGAAAATCTACAGAGACAGAAGGGCCATATCAATGGGTCTGCACTATGTACAATGTGTCTTCATGGTGGGTCCGACTCTGCACTAAGACGTACAGTATAGCAAGAGTAGAGAATGTGAATGAGATCATTGGATATCAATGTTAGGCAGCTGTGCATGGGAGGGGAGATGGGGGCGAGAGAGTCATGGGTGATAGAGTGGCCATATTGCTAGGATCTGATTAAAGTTGTCTGGTTAAGTTACGGTATGGAGCGATTGACTAGAAAATTGAAAGGGAGAAAAAATAAGTGAGGGAGGGACAAGATGTATAGAGCAATGTAAAACATCTTATTGTTGAACCCTTTTAACTTGGTGTCACAGATGTGACAAAGGGCCTTATTTTTCTTGTCCCTGCATGCTTCTCGTAACTTTATCTGAAATGCAATTTCATTGGCTGACGGTGACATGACATGTTGTCTTCTGTGCGTTACGATGTGGCCATCCCAAAGAGGAAGAAAGAAGGGAGTTTGTCATGTAAGCTGGTGAATGGCAGATGGGTCATGGGGATGGAATTTGGGGACATTGTACTTTTAGCACTTAGAACTGTTTAATGTTTATTGCTTCTCTTGTCACAGCACTAAAGCCTGGTTTTCGGTTTGTTTAATTGTTTTTGGTTCGTTTGATCCAAACAGACCTCTGT